AGTTTATTAAGCTACTCTATTCTGATCATTTGTTATTTAAGCCATTTCACTATTTTTTTTGTCTCTAAAGAAGTCTCTACTTATTTCATCAATTTATGATAGTTATTGATTATACTATTCATTGGCTATAACACTAGCTAGTCTATTACCTGACTTGGGTTCATTATTGGGTAGCGACACTTTAGCCGTTCTTACCGCACTTCTTTTTTATGCCCCTTGAATTGAAAAAAGGACTTATATGTTCTCGATTCATTGATGTTTGCTTTGAATACAACTTTACTATTATGTAATTTAACTTACATATCATACTGTTTGTCAGTAGATCCTCATTATTTGATATGTGCTCAACTGAAGATAAGTGGATGATTTACGCTTAGTATGATTACTTCGGTTGTTACCCACTCCTACGAGTGTTATTAGACTCCCTAGGCCCTTTGTGTCCTTCACGAACTAAGTTATCCCATTACATATCATCCTTAGCTCTTATTGGATTTAAATGAAGTCAAATCTAACCATCCAAAGTGAGTAGTATTGATACTCTACTTGTAATATCGATAATCTAGGGTCAAATCTCGATACCCCTATGAGTATGGGTACAAAAATGGCTTCTGTTGCAAAAAATTTGGCCCAATATCGATACTATATACCCTGAGTATCGATACTATAGGGGTAGTGTATCAATACTATCCCTAGTGGTATCTATACACCAAGCTAAAAATACCTAAAATGTATCTCAATTTATTTAGTATTGATACTCTCTATCCAGTATCGATACTCAAACCCATAAATATTTTATTTAAGCTCGAGAAACATTCAAGAATCATCACAAAGGTGTTAGTTTGGTTTTTAATCACGTGCTATCACTTTAGGAGGTTACTTAGGGTCTAAAAGTCATATTAAACACCATATTTACTATAATATCATTTAATCATGAAATCAAACATAAACCCAAAAATGCTCAATTACACAAATCTTAGTAATTCTTCATGCTTATGAAAGCCTTAAAACTTCAAAGGATCAGAAATACACTAACTTGGTTAAAGAATCCCGAAATAAAGATCATTTTGCTAGTTATTTCTATCCTCCAAGGCTTGGATGATAAACCTCCCATTTTTTCTAGTCAAAACATGAAAGCAAGCTTTTTGAATCATAAACAACATTGCTCTAAGGTTTAAGGAGGAATTTGAAGTAAACAAAGTGCAAGAGCTTACCTATGAGATATGAAACTTGGAGACAGAAAAAGATAAAATGAGAATGAAAAGAAGTGAAGGGAAGGGAAGAAGAATATGAAATGATAAAAAAAAGCTCTCATCTTTGTAAAAAAGGTGAAATTCCTCGTTTGGTCCTTCTTCATCTTTCTACTAATAAAAAAATCTTATTTATTAATAATTAGGCTAAATCTAAACCTAATCAAGCCCACACAAGGTCCAACAACTTCAATTACGAACACCACGAGGTGAACATACCTCTCAGGTAAACCTGAAACTACTAGCCTGAAATTTGGGGTGCTACGTTATATGTCTCAAGAATTATAACACCCCAAATTATGGGATAGTAGTTCCGGGTTACCCGAGAGGTAAGTGGATCCCTATGAATTTTAAAAATTAAGTTGTTAGGTTTAATTGGGTTGAGTTCGGGCCCAATTAGTCTTAAAAAGGAGATTATTAATTAGTAGAAAAATGAGAAATGACCAAAAGTATTATTTCCCACATTTTCTCAATTTGAAGCCTTTATATATATCATTTCATTTCATTCTCTTCATTTCTCAATTTTTCTTCTTCTTCTTCTTCTTCTCATCTCTAAGGATTTAGCCAATGTAAGAGTTTAAGCCTTTTCATGATCCATTTTCGTTCATATTTCCTTCATCAACATCGTTTCAGTGCATCAAGCCTTGGGTTTTATAGTTAATGAAAAAAGTGAGAGTATTCATCACAATCATGAAGGAAAGGAGTTTGGCTTATCAAGAGGCTTCATATCGGGTTTCTAGCACCAAGGTAATGTATTTCTAATCCTTTAGAGTATTAAGATTTCATAAATTTAAAGAGACTATTGAGATTTGAGTATTTAAGCATTTTAGGGTTTACACTTGATATTAAGATGAAATCACATTTAAAAGGTTTAAAAGACATTTTTATGGTACCTAAAGACCCCAAACAACTTCTAAAGCTTTAGAATAACTTTAACAACCAAACCAAGCCTTTTGGGATATTTTTAAGTACTTTGTGAGACTAAAACATCTTTTTGGGGTTCAAGTATCAATATTGGGATGAACAATATCGATACTGGATAATTTGGAGCTAAAATTAGGGTTTTGAACTGAAAGTATTGATACTGCCAAGAAGAGTATTGATATTGCCCCTGAAGTATCGATACTCAGGGTGACAATATCAATTCTAAGGCCCCATTTTCGCAACATAATGCATTTTTGGTACTGATACTCATAGGGACATCAATATTTGACCCTAGGTTATCCGTATTGCAAGTAGAGTATCGATACTACTCATTTTGAAAGGTCTAGTTTAATCTGGTTAAGGCCCGTAAGAGCTAGGGATGATCCTAATTAGTAAGACTTAGTCCGTGGGTGATTAAAAAAGCTAAGCAGAGACCAAATACACTCGTAGGAGTGGGTTACAACTGAATTACTTTAGTAGACGCAATGCATTCAAGTTTCTTCATTCGAGCACATATACAGATGGTTGGGAAAGATGATCATTGCAGATGAATGTACCAACTAGTGGTACAATGAGTAAGCAAGTTTCTGAAATAGTAGAAAATGTGGGCATTGAGAACGTTGGTAAACCTAGGAGGTAAGACATCCTTTTAATCTGAAGGGTATTTAAAGGAAATTTAATAAGAGTGATCAGGGTGTCACTACTCAGAGTTGAATCGAGTCAGGTATCAGGCTAGAGAATACTGCAGCCAGTGAGTAGTAATAAAAAAATCATCATAAAACCCCGAGAACGTGTAGAGGATTTACTAGAAGTAGAGAATGGCTAAAACTCCCTTAGGTATCAAATGAACCGAATAGAATGACCTATTAGATAACAACAGTAACATACCATTAAGCCTTTGCATAACCTTCTAAGAGAGAGAACAAGCGAGATAGCATCCAGAGTGAAGATGGCCTCACCTTAGTGAATCCAATTGTACTAGGGGATACCCAGGTTACCTTAGATGCTCTAGTGGGGTATTTTCAGTTCACGAGGCACTTCAAGTGTAAGTGAGAGCACAAATCCAGAACACTAAAGAGTCAACTAGTGATGTCAATGTCATATGGCATCTGGGACTAAGGCATGCATGTATAGTTGCATCACTCCAGTTTAAGTGGTGACGATCATCTAGTGGTATTGGATATCCGAGAACACGTGAAGAAAGTATGCAAGGTACTTTTTTGGGTAACTATTTGGGCGTAATACCTAACATTCATAAAGGGAAGGTTGGTAGGGGTGATGTCCTTACCCAAATACACCACATTGGTTGTGTAAGGCACTTCAACGGCTAATTTGGGTGCAAGGCCTAACACTCACTAGGGATGGGTTAGCTAGATGTGATATCCGCAGTCACCAGTGTTTGATGACTTTGTGGGATAAGATACTAGTCAACATTGCATATTGATAGTACATAGTCGAGCCAGAGTGGTAGTTGGTCTGAATAGAGGCCTGATAGAAGCGTGCTCATAGCAAGGCTTTTTATCCAATAACTAAGGGAAGTTTTAGACCCTATATCAATACAAGCCAGTTAAGTTTTAAGTAGGTAATACTTGATCAAGATCATGTATGTACCTACTGCCACTACTAGAAAAAACCCCTTTAATGACGCTCATTGCGCGTCATATATGGGCACATATGACACACAAATGCGGGTCATTGAAGCCACCAACATAAATCTCAGATGACACGCAATTGTGTGTCATAAATCTGTAACACGCATTTATGACACGCATTTATGACACATTTATGACGCATATTGAAAGTCATTGAAGCCCCCGTCATAAATGAAGATGACACACATTTGTGTCATAAATTTATGAAACGCATGTATGACTTACATTGCGTGTCATTGAAGCACACATCATTAGAAAAGATGATACACATTCGTGTGTCGTGATTGTATGTCGTAAATTATATATATATATATATATATATATATATATATATATATATATTGTAGATTAACAAATAATAAAACTAAATCACATTTAATGCCTCTTAATACTAAATATATATATCATATTATATAAAAAGCAATCCATTTGCATACAATATATTCACATTAAGTTATCAAAAATATTGTAATCATATGTCGATACAAAATAACACAGCATAATAAAGTTTGCCATATAAGATACCCATTCTTTGCGAATATGATCAATGTCATCATTCGTGCATTCTTTGAAGCATATGTAAAAATAAATTTTACACATTTAATTAGTAAAACTTCTCATATAAATTATATACATTATCACAGTACGAATTCACAGTTTTCAGTCTTGCTAACAAGTACTTGCATTAATTTGTTTAGAATAGCATCCTACTTTAAGTCCATATGATAGTTGTATGACTAATGTGTATGTATGATATGACAGATGTGTATCAAAAAAGTTTGCTTACATTCTTATTGACCAGTACTTCAAGTCCGTTCTCGACTATCTCTTTCATGAACTTACAAACATAATATCCACACTCGGTATCTCACGACTGACGGGGACACTACAAACAGTTTATAATACACGATTAGTCAAAGAAAACAAAGAAAATACAACATTGAGAAAGAACATATAACCTTTATTATAAGTTAATAAACAAACACTGAAAGTTATAAATCTCCTTAAATGAATTCAACAATTGTCCTAGTTCACATAAAATTAGTTACTGCTCCCTGCTCAGATTAGCCATGAACTATACTATCTATGATGCACAAAGAAGAATTGAAACCAAAGCCTATGTTTCTCTACCAAACGCATCTAATGTCTAGGTAAGTAGCACTGACTTTACCTTGCAACAGATGCTAGTTTAAACCCATAATACTGCAGTTTTATTTTCCTGCAACCCTCAATTACAACAACTGCCCACATGGTGACTACAGTAAAAACACCTAATACAACAAACATGTACGTCCATCAACTCAAGGCACTGCTTGTGGATGCAAGAAACCAATAATGATGCACACTGAAAAAAATGAATATGCTTCATATCCTGTCAATTGGTTTTAAGTTGGATACTTGATAGAGTTCAACAAGATTTTTAGCTTAAAATGAATGACATTTAGAATCTAAAATTTACAGCTAATGGACTTATTCAACTGAAAGAAAGCAAGGCTACTCACCACAGGCAGTACTAGGAGGCCCAACATGACCAGTCAAGCTATCACTTTCTTCCACCAAGGATATGATGCTACAAGTCTCTGTCATGCCATATCCCTAAACTACTACGTAGCCAAAACACCTATAAAATACACAAGTCAAAGATCGAGGAATGTAAAGCTATGGTACTAAATTCGACTGACGTTGCTTATCAGATGGTTTGGAGACCGATTGAGTGTTTGCTAGCAAAGTGCTAAAATATAATAATCGTGTACGAAAATCAACTTACACTCTCAAGAACTCCATTACTTCAGGCGAAAGAGGGGAAGCATCGTATATCATAAAACACACTCATCCTCCAAGCTTTTCCCTTATTTTGTTAAAAACTAATATGTCCGAAATTGGCGATTCTTTCTTCCCTGAAACAATTGTAGGAAACACGAGCAGTTAGATGGCAAAACAAGTGGCAAGCACACTGAGAGTATACACCTTTTTATAACACTCATATTAATTGGAAATATATAATATATAGAAAAAGAAAGCTTAATTATTACTAAACATACCATTCATGATGGCTTCCTTCTTGGAATTGTAGGCTACCGTAAATAGTCTCTCATTTAGAGTGCCAGAAGCCTTTACGGTGTTGGTGATTCTATGGAAGTTAAATGAACTAAATAAAAATTGAAAAACATTAAAAGATGCAATCAATTTATTTTATCTAACTGTCAACCTCTATCATACTCGGCATAAATTCGATTGAATAGTCGAGGCACACTGAAAAATATTGTTGGTTTAAGAGCAGCCAAATCATCCATTAGTTTCAAAGTGTCCTGCCAACAGCAGGGCAAATCATTTAGAAAATCAGCAAGGAAATAAATTTCTAAGACGAGGATAGGATTATAGGAAGAAACAATATCCGTTTTCCCTTACCGATGATGTACTCAAATTCACAAGGAAAAAATAGAGATGGTTTTAGGTAACTTTTAGATTCATTCAACAAAACTGCTATTCATATTTAGGGAAATAGATACAGCCTCATAAACAGATATAAACCTTTTCTAATATCCTTTATTTAATAATAAAAAATGAGGGAAAAAGAATCATCATGCAAAATATTTACAAGATAATATATATATAAACAAATCAAGAGAATTATTCTGGACTATCACCCTATCAGTCTTAAAAAGCATTTATCTATGATAGATGGAGTTATCCTTTTAGCATGCCTTGACATATATTCAATTGTTCACTTGATATTGTACATAATATCAAAAGCATAGATGGAAAAAATTAATAAAGAACATGTGAAAATTATGTTTAAGTTTTATTCCAGGAAAAGGCTGAATATGCGTCATATCCTGCCAATTTATTGTGAGAAACAAAAGCATCAGAAATTGTTGGTTTCATGTTTATATTGCTAAAGTACCTGTAACTGGCTGCATAAATTGAATAAAGAAGAGAATAGCAAGCAACTATAATAGTTTCTAGTATTGCAAAGCCAAGTGAAATCCACCATCTGTAATGAAAGAATAATAGCATGCTTTGTAAACGTCCAAGTAACATTTTCAAGAATTATACATGTAGCAAAGACTCGTCTCACTTCTTGAGAGGAAAAAATAGACACACATATAACTCTTAATCTTCTCGTTACCATCCAATCCCTCCTTCCGCAACTTCACTAAGGATGGAACAATATGACAGAGTACCTGTTTTCAATCAATTCAAGAGAACACATAAGAGAATTCATCAAAAATAAAATAATTCATAAAACAAAAGAAATTTAGGCCAAAACCAAGATTCAATGGACCATTGCCAGGACTAAACGAACAAGAAAAGTTTACAGCCACTCCTAAATACACTACAGAAGACCAACACCCCAAAATATGAAGTGATTCCTAGTCCCGTACATTTATCCAATAACAAGGTAGTAATTTTATCCCAACTAAAAGAAAGTAACTCCAGAACCCTAATAGACCATTAAACTCTAGAACATTGGCCAAAGAAGAATAACTAGACACATCATATGAGCTTTTTAATAGAAGAAATAACTTTTGGCCATTTGTGCAACCATTCCATCTTAAAAGAACATAGCAACCATCCTCAACATCTATCTATCTATCTCCACTTAAACATATAACATGAGGGTGTCAAATAGATTTCATAGCATGAAGTGTAGAAAAAAATATGGAATTTAAAAGTTTACACAATCATGTAAAACAAATCTTATATGACCAAAGAAAAAGTACAAACCTGCATAATTATGGATGCAATGATCTGAGGGGTGATACCAAGCTGAAAAAATGACTGTTTAAGCTCCGCAGAAAAATACCCAGATCATCTACCAAAAGCAAAATAGAAGGCCAACACTTCTTTGTCCATATAAACATGTCTATTTCTAACAATATCAAACAAACTGCTATCACATCATTCACTTTTCTTTTTAAAATTAATTGACACGTCTTGCCAAATATTACAAAACTATTTGAGGATTAAGGTTCCACCACATTTAATGAAACTACGTTGATTATACTTGTGAAACAGAAATTAAATTGTAGTTCCTCAGTGTTTATTTCTAAAGAATGCAATTTCAAAACTGTGAAAAGTCAATTCAAAGAAATACTTAAAAGATTAATCATTAAATGGGTGAGAAAGTATTTCAAATGCAAGTAGTCTAATAACAACTGATTGCAGAGCTGGAAAATTAGAAAGTACATAAATTTCGAATCCATAAATAGCAAGTATAACAATACCTGGTGTTTCCCATCCTTGATCAATTTGATACGATCTCCCATGAAAAGCAATTACCGAAATGTTAAAACCCCATGAAAATGACATAAAATGATAAAGTTTCCCAAATAATTGCATTGAGTAAGCACGGGAATCATTACTAAAAACCAAGTAAGCTATATCCAGCCAATTACCCATTCTCCACGAAGGAAATGATGGCTTGTAATGTAGCTGAGAAACCAGCTAGTTTGTGTTCATCTCCATATCTGGAAGTGAAATGTACAAAAGAATTAAAGTAAGATCCATTAGCAAGCCGTTCATTTTATATGTGCAGATTTTGCACCTTCAAGTGTTAGTATTTCTAGGAACTACTAACACACCTGGAATATATACGTTTACCAGAATTACTCAAAATAAAGAAGTGTTTCTTCCTCTTTCTCTATGCTATCAAACCATCATCCTGCACTTCATTCCTAAATTAAACATGATGCAATATAACAAAGATTGTTTGAAGTTACTTCTTTCTTTTTGTTTCCAAATCAAACCATGAAAGGCTAATAATTCTTACACTCAAACAATAAAATTGTTATCGACTGATCCAAATTCCAAAACCTCATAAACATTCAAAACTTTAAATTTGCTGAATTCGGGAAAAAACAAGCTAAACCATTTTTTTGTTCAACAAGGAAAAGAACTGGAGTGGCTAACCTCATCAACATGGCGTTTACCCAGAACCCAAGGGGAGGCCTGATTAACGGAGAATCCTTCGAGGAAACCATTGTTCCTTACTTCATGAATACCATTACCGTCAATTTTACTCGCTTCATCGATCCTAGACTCGCTCGTGGTACTACTACTTCATCTCTCACCGGTATATCCACTACTGGTAGAACTAGAGGGCCTTTCGTCGCCTAATATATCTTGATTCTCCACGATTAATTGGTCGTCTTCTTCATCGCCGTTGTCTCTCTCCTGATTCAACAATGCGTTGGCAAATTCATCGCCATTTCCACGACTAGGTTCAGTGAGTGTCAACAAACCGAAACGTTGGCCAACTAGTATGAGATTAGAATTTTTCTTTAAGCCGGTAGAGTCATCAAGAGAAGACAAAGATGAGGTAGAATCCGACGTTTAGTTTTACCCTCTCGGAAAATCAAAATCCCGGATTCAAAATCCAAAAGCAAAATCGAAACGGTGCTCAACACTTCTTTGTTAATGTTCACTCCTTTAACTTCTAGATTTTTTCTAGAAACAGAGGAAAACTAACCTGGAATTTTTGCTAAATAATGGGGGAAGAAAAGTTTTTCTGAAGAATTTTTTCTAAATAATGGGGATGAAAGTTTTACCCTGCGGAATTTTTTATAAAGAACTATACTAGAAGCGGGAAAGGATAAAAATAATGGGAGAAATTAAAAGATAATTTTTATAGAGGACACACAATTAAAAGTGTATTCCGTGTTTTTGTTACTTTTTTTAGATTATGACTATTAAATATGACACACATTATTGCAAGTCACAAATCGTTCAGATTTTAAAAAACATGACATTTTTTATGACACATATTTTTTGTAAGTCATAAATTAACGTGTGTCATTAAAGGTATATTTTCTTGTAGTGTGCTTAGTACCTAAACTTTAGCACGATTATGTTTATGAGACTCTTAATGCTACTCTAGATTAGAAATTGCACTGTTAGGCTTTGTAAGCTCAACCTTCAGATGTTTTTTGTGGGTGGGTTAGTAGTTAGAGCAGTTCAAGGAGAATTGTCATGGCAGGACTTCCAACATTCCCCTTTAAAGTACTGTATTATAGCTTTAATGGGCATGTTTATTCATAAAACCTTACTCGTGTTTACAGATTTATAATAAATAGTTTCTAATACTTTGATTTAAATTATGTGTCATGGATCTCTATTTTACTAAATGTTTTATTAAATGTTTTTATGTTATATGATACCATCGAGTATGTTTTAAAAGAGATCGAGTAGGTTTTTAAAAATCAATGGTTACCTCGGTAGTCCAATATTGTATTTTAGGCCCAATCGGATCTAGGGTATTACATTTAGTGGTATCAAAGCGTCAGGTTAAGTCGGTCATAGACCAAGTGGTAAATTTTAGTAAGGTGAATACATGCCCCTAAGTACTGAAAGTACTTGTATAAGTCTAGAATCCTAATGGTGTTTCCACTACAAGAAACATACCCTTTAATGACGCGCATTGCGCGTCATCTATGGGTGTGGATGACACACAAATGCCTGTCGTTGAAGCCACCGACATGAATTTTTTATGACGCGCAATTGTGTGTCATAAATCTATGACGCACATTTATGACGCGCATTAATGACGTTCTTTGAGTGCCATTGAAGCCCCCGTCATAAATTAAGATGACACACATTTGTGCGTCATAAATTTATGACACGCATGTATGACTTACATTGCGCGTCATTGAAGCCCCCGTCATAAATTAAGATGACACACATTTGTGTGTCATAAATTTATGACACGCATGTATGACTTACATTGCGCGTCATTGAAGCCCCCGTTATAAATCTTCTTAACATACATTTGTGTGTCATAAATTTATGACACGCATATATGACTTACATTGCATGTCATTGATGCACACGTCATTTAAAAAGACCACAAACGTTCGTGTGTCGTGATTGTATTTCAGAAATTATATATATATATATATATATATATATATATATAAATATAGATATATATATAAATATAAATATATATATATATATATAAATAATATATATATATATATATAATATATATATATATATATATATTGTAGATTGACAAATAATCAAACTAAATCACATTGAATGCCTCATAATACTAAATCTATGTACCATATTATATAGAAGCAATCCATTTGCATACAATATATTCACAGTAAGTTATCAAAAATATTGTATTAATCATATGTCGATACAAAATATCAAGGCATAATAAAGTTTGCCACATAAGATACCCATTCTTTGCGAATATCATCAATGTCATCATTTGTGTATTCTTCTTTCCCATCGCCAACCTAAGTAAAAAATATGAAATAAGTATATAATTTATACTTATTTAAAGTGAAGTATATAATAAACTATTAAAGAGTACTAAAATGACCAATTTTACATATGCATTCTTTGAAGCATAATAACATTATGCAAAGTCATAAAATCAATAGCATTATAAAAAATTTCAACTTTGTTCACAACAATATCATCACAAATAATAACCACAAGAGAGTCCCTGTTACGTCTATAGTACTTGACAAAATCAAATTTTGGGTTTTAAGTGCTAGTACGTGTTAAATGCTTTCACAACTCCACCGAACATTTCAAATTGTTCTTTTAGACATTGATTCATATATCGAAAAATAGTATCGATTGCCACATGCTTAAAACGTGTAATTAGATTCAAGAAATCACTCATTACTTACAACAGAATCTATCAATATATAGAAGCAAATAACAAGAAGTTTACCATCAATGTAATCTTTCACTAAGTTAAATTCACAAGATTTTTAAGTTTGTTTCAAATTATAAACGATAACCTCCATTCCATATAGAAATAAAAAGAGCATGACAATTCTTATTAATATGAATAGACAGGATATTATCGTAGATGAATTTCCAATAATATCATCCTACTTCAAGTCCATATGATAGTTGTATGACTAATGTGTATGTATGATATGACAAATGAGTATTAGAAAAGTTTGCTTACATTCTTATTAACCAGCACTTGAAGTCCGTTCTCGACTATCTCTTTCATGAACTTACAAACATAATATCCACACTCGGTACCTCCCGACTGACGGGGACACTACAAACAGTTTACAATAAACGATTGGTCAAAATGAAAGCTGCAATTTAAACAAGGAATGATCGTTCGAAGTCCTCACCAAAACATTGATCCAATTGAGGCTAACCCTTTTGTTAGATATACTTTGAGCATTGTACAATTTCATTGCCCTATAAAAATTGATGAAATATATCAAAGAATATATTATAATGTTTCGATAATTTATGTTACTTACGCATCAATAACTTCCTTCAACTGCTGATGGACATTGGTGGGCCCTAAGGAATCAAGATAATAACAATTTGTTGCTTTCATATCTATCACCGCCAACACCCAATGTCTTCTATAAAAACGAAAAACCAAATTAAGTTACTAAAATATATTGATAATCAAATGAAAAAACAAACCCGAGATTATATAGCACTAGGACGATGTCATTGTCCTTTCTTAGAGACAATCAATCTGCAACGCTTCGAATTACCTCATCGCTATTTTTGAATTTTGCCTTACGTTCTGATGGCGAGATTGCAGACGGGCTCATAAAACAAATTCCATGATCTCTTTTTGGCCCATTCTTGATTTCCTCAAACAAGTACCTATATATTAACATTAGACAAGTACGATGATTAAATATATTGTGTTTTAATAAAATTAAAATTATGCACTTACATCATATAGCCGATCATCTCATCCACAGTAAAAACCACTTCAAAATCTTCCTAAGTTATATACGTGAAACTCTCGTACCCAAACATATCGTCCTCACATTGTACTTTCACTGACTCCGCATTTTTAAGTTTTGCATCAACCATACGTGCAAACATTTTCAAAACATGGTTACTTTTAACTCTTAGCCTTGTCCTCATTTGTGCTCTCCTCCTCCTCCTTTACGGTGTTCATTCCTCCTTTTCTTTCTTTCCCTCTTCGGTGTCCCTTCTTCTTTCTCCTCTTCCTTT